AGTCTGTTGCTTTGCACAGATAGGAAAATTAAATGAAGTTAACTATCAAGTTTTTGAGTCACCATTCAGCCTTTCAGTCGAGACAGATGACTTTTACTTACAGTGCTTCCTCTGGCATTCAGTGGAAGATTTGGCAATCCTCTCTGGGTCTGGTTCTCAGCAATCCTCTGACATGGGGGCAGTAAGTGTCTTCATTGCACATAATAGTGCTGTAGAAGTCAGAAAAAATGGCTCTTTCCTAGCCAGTTTACCCCTTTTTCATCTGATAGAAGTGACTTTCTTTCCTGATCCAGAAGCCAAGGCATGCTGGTCTCTGCCAGTGAGCATGGCAGGCACATGCATCAGCACACAAATGCTGAGAGACCACTGATGTTTGCCAAATGTACCACATCCCCCCACTCCTGTCCTTTTCAGGGAATAAGAGAGCCCCAGTTTCACCAGTACAAAGCCTGTGACCTGGGCTGCATCACCCAGTACTGGGAGGGACACTCAGCACTAGGGGATAAATGGGAAGTTACAGCCATTCCCATTACCCAGTAAACCTGGAAATTTAAACTAGATTCTGCCTCAACTTCCAACCATTGTAACTTCACTTCTGGAAGAGGATTACTCCTGGTTTACACAGGGCAAGTTAGAACCAAATATCAAATCTAATGGACCTGATTTTGTTTGTTTTTACACCACTATAACCTTATGATGGCACTTAATAATTCACAACTAAAGGTCAAATTACTCACTGTTACTCAGTGAGTAGTCACAGTGGCTTCTTTCCTTTCCTGGCAACAAATCCAGGGTCTGCTGACATTGAAAAGCATTGATCAGGTCTAGAATGGAGTATTATGGGACAGATAAGTGTGAGGGAGCACTGGTTACACTTGTCAGACTGAAGGCACTTCAGCATCTAACTCTGAGTTGCCTTTTGGGCTGCAGTTGATTCTTGAGAGCTTTGTCAGATCCATGCAGGCCCTTGGCTCCCACTGAGCTCACTGCAGCTCACCTGCTCCTCTCCCTGACCCTCTTTGGGTTTCTCCTCAGCACCTCTGTTTACATCCCTGGCAAGATGGGATTCAAGGCACAGGGACTAAAATGGGGTTAAACCACACAGAAGGAACCACCTTCACAGCAAGACTTGGGTTCTGCTGTTGACAGAGAAGTGCAGGGTCCTTGGGTAATTGAAAGATGCTGAATTTGGTGATATCTTGGGCATAATATATAGGTATTTTCTTGGAACATGGTCCTGCCCTCAGTTGCTCTTCTACCTGCTCCAAAGGCAGAGCTTTAACACTACAGGCAGCAAGGGCACCAGGAGATGCAAGTTACACCTGAGGCAAGCTACACTCTTCTGAGGCAATTACTGCTATAAAGGTTTAGCATAAAGCTCAAGAGAGCAGAAAGCAGAACATTGCCAGTCACACACTTTTAATTCTCAAACTGTCTCCTAAAAAAAAGAGATAAGATAAAGCCAAACCAGATTAACTAACTTCAAAGCAAACAGCAAGGCATTTTCAGCATGCTGGAATAGAAGCTATGGGGAGCACTGATGAGTAACACAGGGAGAGCTCCCTTACTGCCTTGCTCCACATCCCTTCCAGGTTTCTGGAAGTCCTGTGATCAGTCCCATCCCATAACGAGCCTACAGCAGGTGATGCAGCAATGTCTGCTACAGGAACGTGTAAGAGACTGATACACACAGGAGCCCTGTGGAATAGTCTTCTCCAATTAGTTACCCAAGGAAGAATGATATTGAATGACTCTTACAAAGTATACACAAAGCACTTATTGTTGTACTAATCATCGACTTTCTATAGTAAAATTAACCAATTTGCTAATTAAGACTCATGACAATTCATCATTAGAGTAACTATGTGCTGCAGTGATTCATCACCCGTCGCCTGCTCCTGCCGCTCGGGGACGTGGGCAAGGGCTGCTCCAGCGGCTCCTTCCCTGCTCCCAGCGCT